ACCATATCCTCTTGGTTTAAGGCCTTTTTTCCGCTAATGGCATCACTATGTCGCTTAGAGGGCGCCGATAGGCTCCCTTCCAACATTTATTCTACAGTTCTTTCGCTATTTCAATGGTGAGTTCCGAAAAGGCACCTTGCTGGGCAGTGAGGCGCGATTGCGCGTCTCATGGTCGCGACTGCCAAATTGCTCCTCTCTTACGTGGCCAAAAAAGCCAGAACGGGCGCCGTCGTCAATTTTTGAAAAATTGAGCCTCGAAATCAAACATGATGGTGAAGCGACCTTCAATGAGTCCTTTGCCTCCAGAGCTCTAGCACTTTCAACATCCTTATCTATTTAATTCTATTTTTGTTGACAAATTTATGTGATTGTAACAGTTCTTTTTTCGATTAAAAATACTTTGTTTGAATCGGAAAGTACGCTTCTGAACTTCGGACACAAAAGCGGTGGAAACTTCCCGAACAATCCAATAGGAATGTTATGTGATTGAATCTCCTTGAATCAATTCGTAGCTGTTGTGTTGTTTCGTCATACTGATTGTGTGAGTTTCCTGTCAGACGGTGTGCGTAGTGCGACCCGAGGTTCGCCGTGTTATTCTGATGACGACGACAGTCTGCCATCTCGACATAGTAGGACCGACAGCGGAAGAGGTAGAGACGGCGGAACTTTCAGAGAGCGTCGTGAAATAAAGGGTAGGGCTTATATATTTGAAGACAGATATGAGTTAGTTACTAACCCATCGGACGTTTTACAGGAATTATTTACATGGGGAGGGAAAGCTAATAATTGTAGTAAATCTCCTTTATGCGGATAGCCCATCCCATCACTTGTGCAATGAATTCAATAAATGCTATTGAATTTTTTGACGTTAGCCTTTAGTGAGGCGTGTTATCGCTCGGCCGTATAGTAAATCTTTTGCACGCTTCTCATAGTCCCTTATCGTTTATGGTTTATCAGTTTAGCATCGCATAGTAAGGCACACGCGTCACACGAGGCTTCAATGATATGGCAAGGGTGATCGAAGTTTCTGACTTTAACCGCAATCCCCACTGCTGGGTCTCCGTCTCAACTGGCAACTCGCGCCTTTACCCATTTCCCCTTTTCTACTGCTGGGAACCAAACTGGGACTTTTCCAACTTTGTGATCGATCCATTTCAGTGCATGACCAATTATGTGAAGAGGATCCAGCTTATTTCTTACGTTTTTTGTACTTCATAGCCTGTGCACTCACTACTATTGGTAAGAGTTTAGGTAAAGAAGGTGAACATGTTGCGCCTCTATGATATGTTGAAGGGGAGTTTTCATCCAAAAATGTTAGGGCACGTTCAGAGATCCTTTTTAATATCCTGAGTGGTAAAAGTCCCCAAGTGGGCGTCTCCACCCTCAGCTGCATCTGACCAGTGTACAGCTGTGTTTGGAAGTCTTTTTATTCCAACACTGGGAAACATCCTTCGGGGATAGCAATTTGTTAAAGCAGAACAATCAAAGCTTCCACTTATTGGACACTCGCTTTGCTTGCTTGAAAGTTGCATGCCAGAATCTCAGATCGGTTGCCGATTACTGAAGTTGTGAATTTTTGTAGTCGTATTTATGGCTTATTGTGAATGATCCATCTGTTATTTGTAGTTGTTGAAAAATTGATTTGTGTGCATTCTTCTGTGCATTGAAGTAAGTGTACGAAATCTCACACCGGAATCATCGATCGAATTTATTCAGATTTGGGTCCACAAGTTCGCTACCCTTGCGGTCGACCACCACCACC